AACAACATACAGTACTGTATATGTACCTACTAAATTTTACTTACCATGCTCTGCAGAACAGGAGCGGCTCAGCTCGTTTTGGTCCAACTCTGTTCCGTTTCTGCAGATGTACCCAGCAGCAACCCATTAATCAATATTCTAAACTTCTAAACCTACTAATTTTAACAACATACTTATATGTATTTACTAAATTTGACTTACCAGCATGTCTCTGTTCAGAGGTCCTCATCATCGGTTGAAAGAGGTGAAAAAAGTCCTCTGTTAAGCTTCAGATGGAGTGCAGGATCATCGGCTGCATGCGACCAGTGACATGCTGGTTGAAAGAGATGAAAAAGATTCCCGTTAAGCTTCACATGTACCACCGGATCATCAGCTGTACACATCTGCTTGGAGGTCCACGTGGACGTGGTACCAGCTCTCAAGATTCTCTGATGGGTCTGGAGGTCTGGTTCTGCTCGGTTTGGTTCGGTGTATTAAGTGTGGCTTCCCTACATCTGATAGATACCAATCAGATCAAAACTTTCCCTCTAGTTCATCAGAAGGAAACGGGTCTTCTGGGCAGGGCCCTGTTGCCTTCTGGGAAATGTGATAATTATGAGCGGGAATACAGTGGAGGATTACTGAGAGAAAACTACAAAATGGCAGCGCCTGTCCAAAGTAGTTTTTTCCTTCTTCTTTTTGTTAACTTTTTACTGTACAGTACTGTATCTAGTACTATATCAATCACGTGAGTAATATTAAAGTTGACATTCATGTGTCCTGTACAATTTTTTCCGTTTATTTTTTGTACAATATTATGGTCTGTGCATATACAAACTGCGATAGAGTGAGTCCGCAGAAGTCAAACCGTGAAGTAGCGAGGGACTACTATGTTCAAAAATACACACAAGGCATGAAAGCACTGCATGCTACTTTTTGCCAGCACAATAACAAACCAGTTACAGTGTTGGTATATTGTAGTTTATTTGTTTTAATAGCGTACAAATTAAAAAATGCATCACGTTTGTATTAAATTATATGCATAAAGTGCATATATTGAAATATATCTCATTTAAACACTTGTTTTAATAAGTATGCCTTGTAAGGATGATGATTTATTATTATTATGTTTTTTTATCTATACACCTGACAGCCCAAAACTGGTCCCTTACTGTATATTTTCGCATGTATTAAAATTTGTATTGTATCCTACAGACAGTCGATGCACAAAGTTGTTGGACAGACTGGTGTATTTGTCACTGAATATGGATCTCCTTGCAGATTCAGCAGCACGACTGCAAAACTAAAGAGCTTTATTGACAATTAAGTATACAAATTTCCTTAATCAGTGATTATCTAATTAAAGATTGTGCAGTAAATGTCAAAAAACAGCAATGTTTTCATTGCAATCCTACACTCCATGTTGTTATGATGGGCTGTGGGTGGGAAGCAGCTGGCTGTGTGGGACGACTGCGCTCTGAATGCTGTCATTACCATAAATATCAAATGATGCATCTCCTGTACTCAGCAAACAGTGTTTCTGAAGGCAGTGGGGATAAAAGTATTTAGAACACACAGCATATTATTCCTAAAAAGTGCATTGTAGTGTATAGAGAAAAGTGACAGTAACTGTTAAGTGTCTTACGGTGCTTTTTTTAACCTACTGTTGTGAATGTGTATGATTTATTTGTATTTGTCAAATATAACCCTCACCAAAAACATGGCAAATGACCTCACAGTAAGCTAAATACTAAAATATATGTTTTAGCTATGTTTTTTTTTAAATAATAATGACAAATATTTTGAAAATGTACAGTGAAGCAAATCATTTAAAATCAAATATGTTGTCTGATAAACTGTAAATAGACTGTAGACGTAGACAGAACCTGCTTTCTAGCTCAGCCAAATTTGACTCATCCCCTACTTCTATACCAAACTCCCTTATGGGAGAAAAGTTAAACGGCTATCATATCATTGTCCCAGCGTTTCCATTATCCTGACTCATATTACCACTCCTAATCTTGCACCTTAGCAAGAACTAGTTGCTGACAAAATTATATAGGTGGAAAATTACTTTGATAAATGAGAAACCCTTCAAGAAATTGTTGCTCCATCAGTTGCAGACCATTTTAACAATGAAATACACCAAATTAATATATAATTTTTTGCCAACTAAAATAATTGTTTAGGATTTACCTTACTTTATCATATATATTTTAAATGTTTTTAACTAAAATGGACAGTGATACCAAGCATATTTCCCTTCACCAAACTACACACTGGCTGTTATTTTTCTTGGATGTTGATTGAAATACTCTGGATTTTTGTGTTCCAGCATGAGCTTGATCAGACTTGGTTATAAAGTTGAATTATTATTATTATTTGTTTGTTTGTTTGTTTGTTTTATTCCTGTTATTCTGGCCACAACTTGATGTTCTCAACTAAAAAAAAATATTAATAAATGAAAAAGCTTCCCCTATTTCTAGCCACTCATTTACCCCCTGATATTATTTATTTATTATATTTTTAATTAACTCACATATTGTCTAAAACCAATCACCCCTTAGAGTTGGCCCTGGTATCCTCATTGTTTTAATAAAATGTTTTGTTCA